TTTTTTTCGAAAACGATCTCAATGAGTTCTCTTTAAACTTTGCCTGGCTTTAATCTTGAAGATCTACATCTGGACTGTAAGTGTAAGAGACATTCAGTCGCTGTAAGAGACATTCAGTCGCTTTAGAATTCAGATCCAATTGAGTGCCAAGAACACGACTCACTTGCAAACATTATGACGTCATCTTACTGTTGCCTTGGTAACAGTGTCTTTCAACAAACTTTCATTTCAAAAAAAAAGATTTTTCAATATATGTTGAATGAACAAAGCCCCTTCAGTTTCCTTTTAAGCTCCGACAGCGAACAGTATCGACTGTTGGGAATGTTGTACAGTACTCGGTTAAAATCACGACCATCAAAGGCCCCCTGATTAAACCACGACTCAGTTTCCGGCCTATTGCTCATGACTTAATGATTGACATATTTAAGACAATGTTGTCATCTTGTTTATTAGAGGATTGGATGTCAAGAAAACAAAGAAGGCAACCGAGGTATGTTGAAAAGACTAACTTGAGTTTGCTTTTAACACTCGGTCCAAAAGTTTAAAGTCAAATAAGTTAAATAAGCCTTTGATTTCCTCCTTAAATAATGAGCCTAGACTAAATCGCGCGCGTGCTGATAACCAAACCATTTTATAAGATTATCTTTAAAACCAGCCGTATAAAATTTCATTCAGTTTAAGCTGATATGACTAGTAGTAGTCAAAGATTATGTGAGTGCGTTCGACGCCGTCACTTTAATTAATATATATATATACCTTAAATTATTTCACTACCTGACTTTCAGCCTCTGTCTATTGCTAAAATCAACGTTTTTCATCGGCAACCGAGGTTTTACAGACAGATATAACATAGTGTCAAAGTCCATTCTATTTTAAGAGGTCCCCTGTACAAACTACGATTTGTTGATACGTTGCGTGACAGCGCCAGTTTCCGTAGACTCCTAAGTTTAATAGCACTAAAATATTTCCATTTATAGCCTTCAAATTTCGTGCAAAATATTCTCACATTAACTGGTAGTGTTTAAGCGTAAAAGCTAACTTGTAAAAGTATATTTTACATACACTATTCTTAGCTGGAAGCACAAACATAAGCAAACATTTGCAATCGTGTGCTTGTTTGTGGTCAGCGCAAACAAACTCCGTGCGACTGTTCGAGTATTCCCCTGATGAATATAGTAGACAGTATTTACATAATTTGCCGTTCCTTGGTTCAGGCTCCCTCTTAGCCTATGGATCTCGGCTTCAGAGTACTTTTCCGCGATTCCAAACAATACTGATTCAACCGGATAAAGACTGAGCTACATATCTCTGTCGCGACTGGAACTAATCAACAAATACAATCAAAATGTAGAGCCGTGTTCGTTAAGATATAAAATAAACAAGGGCAATTCCCTCAGATTTCCATAAACGCTGCCGTCGAAGCGCTTAAATTCACTAAAATCCAACGCTGAGTGCACAAAATAGCGAAGCCTACGGCGACTGAATGAAAAGAAGTCATAGAAAGATCCGGCGCAAAGACAAGCTCACATGGCCTACTCACATGCTCACATGTTCGCCGCATGTCTTGTCCCATGTCTTAGTAACGGTACCATTTTACTGGCCGTGAAATGCCCCTGCAAAAATCAAGCGGGGTGGCCATTTTGGTGTCCTTACAGGAATGTGGGTTTTTTCTGCATATAACCCTGCACAGGGAAACCAACTCAAGAAAGCCACAGGTCAAAATTAAGCTTGCGTTCTCCGAACGCAATAATACAATCCTAAAAGTTGATATCATTATCCTCAAATGGTGTGGACTCGCACACATTCTAAATAAATCTAATTAAATTTCCTGCAAGCTATGTCTTCTAGTAAACAACCGTCTACAACAAGACCTGTCTCACCTGATACCACACCAAAGACTAGTACAAGCATCGATATGGAGGCTTTTATCAACAGGAACAATCGCGGCCGCTGTAACCAGCACAGTGCAAACCACCATTGAAACGTCCCATTTGCACACCGACACGCAACTTGCTGGTGGAAGGGCAGGTACCACCTTGGCTCCAATATCAATACAAGCGACGGTGTCCGACCATTCGGCGATTATAACACCCGTTACGGCAAGTATGAAGAAACCCATCTATCTATCTCATTTATCTTAGACGATTCAGAAAATTTAGTCTTTTCCAGTCTTGCCCTGGAGCTGGGAGAAGGCATTAGAGGTAAGGTCAAGGCCAACGTTTGGGCTGTAGCTCGCGTAGCTTTTTGTCTAACTCCTACGTTTGGTAACTCAATCAACACTTCTAATCCCAGCTGGGGGCTCAGCTTACATGTATTCTCGAGCCTTGTAAGCCTCTGAAAAAGAGCAGCATTATTTATCAATGGATATCTGCAGGAGTAGAGGACAACACAAATATAAACTCAGTCTACGAGGGGCCTGATTCTCAAATGCTTGCGTTTACTAAGAAATTATTTTATGGCCCACTCTGGAAACGACGTGATAAAAAACGAAGCGCTTAGCACCTAGCTCTGTTTTGTGTTTAAGTTAATCCAGTCCGGTATGTACTTGTGTACTTTAATAGTGTCCCGTATAAGTTCACCCTTTGGTTTCCGAACGGGGCATTCACGAACTCTTTTGTTTTTTGCTCAATATAAAAGATTCCAATTTAACTAAATTAAACTTCGTGAACGCCATGTCTTCTGGAAATCGCCCGTCTACAGCAACTCCTGTCCCACCTCAGACTGCCACAAAGACTAGGGTAAGCGTCGATATGGAGGCTTCAACAGCAACAATCGCGGCCGCAGTAACCAGCACACTGCGAGCTGCCATGAAAACGCTGCGTTTGCACTCGGACACGCCATCCGCCGGTGGAAGCGCAGATACCACATTGGCACCCATATCAGTAGAAGCGACGCTGTCCGACCGGTTGGTTATTACTTCATCCCTTACGGCAGGTATGAATTAAGGAGCCCAGCTCCTCCGATGCTTCCTCTATCTTATATAATTCAGAAAAACTAGCATTTTCCAGTCTTGCCCTGGAGCTGGAAGAGGGTGGGTAGACATTAACTAAGGATAACATCAAGTAATAAAAATAAAATAATAATAATACATAATGTTTTAAGAGGAGGCCTCCAGTTACCATAAGGTGGTTTTCAGGAGGGTCCTCTGAGAAAAATAAGGACAAAGTTTGGGCTAGAACGCACGTAGATTTCGGTTTTCTACTTTCAGTAACCCCACGTCTTGATATTTCTACTTCCAGCTTACTCTCGAGCCTTGTAAGCCTCTCAAAAAGATAACCATTATTTATAAGTGTTAAAAACTGGATCATTGGATAATGCAGTTGGAGAGTTTTCATTGGTTTAGCTCTTATGCGTTTGAGCCATTATACCATATGGTAATCGTACGCTTGAGCTTTTTAATTTTATTTTGGTCTAGTTTTCTATCTTTTCGGGGCATTTTTAATAAAACGATTATTCTATTCGCGATTGTTGGATATGAGATGATTATAGCCAATTCGGCGCTATGAGCCTCGTTGGCTATCTATCATCTCATGTCCAACGCGCGATTGTGGAATGAATAATAATTAATGAAAGTTATTGGCTTAGGGGACAACGTACAAAAATGAAAAACTACCTAGTTTACGAGGGGCAGTGGTTAAATGTTTGCGTTTACTTACCACTTATTCCATGAACCCAAGCTGGATGCGAGGTGATAAATTAGAAACGAAGCACTTAGCACCTAGCTCTGTTTTGTGTTTAAGTTAATCCAGTCCGGTGTGTACTTTTTATACTTCAAGACTGTTCCGCATTAGTTCACCATCTCGTTAAGGGGCATTCATGAACTCTGTTTTTGTTCAATGTGCGCATTCTAAGTTAAAAGTTGTCTTCTGGCAATCGCCCGTCTACAGCAACTCCATTACTACTTGATACTGCTGCAAAGACTAGTGTTAGCGTCGATGTGGAGGCTTTAACAACAACAATCACGGCCGCTGTAACTAGCACAGTACAATCCGCTGTGAAAACGCCGCATTTGCTCACGGATACACCATCTGTCACTGGAAGCGCAGGTACCACCTTGGCTCCAATATCAGTAGAGGCGGCAGTGTCCGACCAGTTGGTGATTACTTCATCCCCCACGGCAGGTAAGGAGAAGCCCAGCTTCCCTGGAACTACTTCTAACTTAGATAGTTCAGAAAAACTAGCATTTTCTATTGTCCTATAGCAGAGTTGAGTTGTAAGGTCAAGGCCAATGTCTGCCCTATAGAGAACGTAAATTTCAATGTCCTGTTTTCAGTAACCCCGAGCCCTCACTGCTATTCTATTTTAATCAATCAATTCTTTTATCCCATAAAGTTTGGCTCGGCAGTGTTTACAAGTACGGTTTTATTTATTTATTTATTTATTTATTTATTTTTTAATCGTAAAGTCATGGATGAAACGGACACAGAGGATTTTGTTTGCAACAAACTTCAAGGGAGAGGCAGTGGCCTAATGATCTGTGCGCTGGTCTCCTGATCGAGCAGTCTGGGCTTCAGCCCTGGCCGGGGTAATTACGTTGTTTTTTTGGGGTAGGACTCTACTCACATAGCGTCTCTCCCCTCCATGTCCACCCACGTGTATAAATAGGTACCAGCAAATTTTAATGCCGGCGGGTAAACCTGTGATGGACTTGTATCCCATAAAGGGGGGAGTAGAAATACTACAAGCCGTTTCATACTACAGAAACCGGGATAAGCTCCAGTTGATGGTGCCACTGGGCTATCGCCGGCTATCCCGGCGGATGGTCCACGCGTTTACTCTTATTTTAACATAAAGCGCGTCCCAACTGCCTAAATGCCCACTCGCCAACAGCCAGTTACGAGTAACAGCCTTGCTTAGCAGAATACTTGACAGCTCGGCCAAGCAGACAACCCCTTGACAGTTTTATTTCTCTGAAGAGAAAATAATGCCAGCAATACTAAGAGAAAACGTTGCACAAATTGATATGCTCACTGCGCTTTGCTCATTTTTGTAATTTCTTGTCAATATTTTTCTTCTGAACCTTACTTTTTGGTTTTTGGTATTGACATATTTTTTTTGTGCTACGTATTTATTACTGCAATAAGCACTTTAAGAAGAATTGACAAATACTTGTGAAAAAATAGTTCGTGGCAAGTCTGACGCGACGTTTCGTCTCGGCCAACAAACTCTTCAGAGACCTTTCAGAGTTTAAAAGCAAACTCGTTAATCGCTCAAATTCCCGTTCGCAAATTCAGGGTGTTAGCAGTCTGGCCCTCTTTCGCAGAAGGATTCCCAACCAAAAAATAAAAATGTTGTACTCTCCCAGAAAACGATTGTTTCATACGACGGCCACTTTCCTCTATCCTCAAGCTAACCGTTGTAGAGAGGCTCGTTTGTAGTAATATAACACCCACTAGGGGATTCTGTTACTGAAGATGGCTGAACCTTCATATTAAACAAGTTTACATTAAAGAAGCCAAAGTCACCTTGAGGACTACTTCCTTTCTGCCCGTTATACAGACATTTGGTACCGTATATATCATTTTCTAGCTAGAAGAATTAAAAGCATATGAACATATTCCATTTGTTTATTTTTGGCTTCACTGTTTCAGATTACGCTCGAAATTTGTTTCAAGAGACACTACTGATTCAGTTGTTATGGTAGATTCAATTCCAAAACTTACAGAATTTACACTATGCTTTTGGATGAAGACGAGTTACAACTATCAAGGGACGCCACTCAGTTATGCTCTCCAGGGAAGGATAAATGACCTTGTCATAAAAAAACTTTAAAAGCTTTCGTATAGCTATTGGGAATAAGAATTACAGGTAAGTACTATATTTTAAAAGAAAACCACAATTTTAAACATCAAGTATCCTCTTCCTTCTCCCCTTCCTCCTCCTTCTCTTCCTCTTTCTCGTCCTCATCATAATCATCATGATGATCCTCATTCACATCATCATCGTCATCCTCCTTCTCACTCTCTTCATCATCATCCTATTCGCTCCCCCTCATTCTCTTCTTCATCTCTTCTTACTGCCTTTCCTCATCCTCGTCAATCTTCTCCTTCCATCTTTTAATTTAGGTAATGCAGTCCAAAGCAAAGATGTTATTTTTTCCACCCGGCCTAACTTCGCTTCATCTCACTTCACCTCACTTCACTTCATTCTCTACACTTTACTTTGCCTTATTTTACTTCATTTTATCTTATGCATTTTTTTTCTTTTCTTATGTGTCCTTTTGAACCTTTAATTTGATGTCCTGTTTTTATTTTAGAGAGTTTAAGAAAATCACGGCAACGGAAACGTCGCCAAATAAAAGATTTAATGAGCAGGACAATAGCTGTGCAAGTACGTTATAAATTTTGGCCGCATTTTTTGCCATACTCTGCATAACAACAATGTGAAATGACCAAATTCTGCGTTATCTGGAGAACGTGAACAACGACGGCTAATTTTCTAAAATGATATTTCGAATTTATCGCTGTATCCCAGATTCAGTTTCGTGATACTTTTTACAGTGATAAACAAAGTAAATTACTTGAGGGTACCGCGAGATTCGTAGGTAAAATATAAATCCTTTTTTATTGACGTCGTCCTCGACGTCGCCGTCGTGGTTTCTTAATTTTCCTACTTCTTGTCCTTTGACGGCTTCTTAAAATGAAACTGAATCTCTCAAAGTTAGGTCAAACGTCGAAATCAGAACATCGTTGTTTTTAACCATTTACTTCCATTCACTTTTACTTCTCTTGCATTCACGCAGCCCTACCAGAATATCGGCAGTCGATGGGAAATTGCACCGTATTTGTGTGACGTGGGAAAATACCGCTGGCAATTGGAATTTTTTATAAAGATGGACAACTCGGTAAAAGGGGCACAGGCGCGAATCTTGGTGGCGTGATTGAAGATGGGGGACGACTTGTGTTAGGTCATAACCAAGCAGACGTGGATGTGGATAACTTCTTTATTGGAACTTTGGGTCATGTGAATATATGGGATTACGTACTTTCTAGGGAAAACATCACTGCACTCTCTCGGTCCTGCCCCTTTGGAGAGGGGAATGTTTTAAAGTGGGTGGAATTTAAGCAAGGTCTCCAAGGAGGCCTTAGTGTGTTAACTCCGTCACCATGCCAACCATAA